TGGATGACGTGACTCCGATCGTGAGATAGAACTTTAAAGAGGAGAAGGCGTAGCCTTATTCTTTGTAGTGGTTGGCATAAGATTGATTTGCACACTCAGACCTTCGGGAGTGAAGAGAATTGTCCCTGCATCAAGCAAGTCCTGGACTTGGTGCTTAAAAGCTACGCAATCTTCAGTATCATGACCAGGTGTCCTAGAATGAAAATCGCACCTAGCATTGTCGTCAAAGCCATAAGGGCGTTTTTCATGTGTAGTGAAAATTCGGAGTTTGACCAAATGTAATTCTAGCAGGGGAGGAAGCAATTGTGCATACAACATTGGAATAGGATCAAATTTTTGTTCAAGCTGTTTTGGCCTCTGCTGACGGGCTTTGCCTTTTGGATCCTCTCGGGAAGTGACAACTTGTTGCGGATGGGAGGGTCCTTGAATGCACGGTTGCGGAGGAGATACTCCCTAACCTACAAGAGTCCTCAGGTTATGGGGAGGAATGGTAACTCCTATTGTGGCAGGCATATAAACATCTTCTTTCTTCAACATTGTCCCTAAAATTTCCATAACCAAATTCAATTGTGTCTTCAACTGAGTGTTCTCTTCTTTCAGGAGTTCTTGTCCACGGACCAAATCCTGCATGTCTAATACCACGAATCCCATCTGTTCTTTCATCTCGTCCAATTCCCCACGAAGTTGTTCCATATCTTGAATCTGACCACGAAGCGACGAGAAGTCAAGATTTGTAGCTCTGAAAAGAAAATACCGAGCCTGAATAAGGATTCCCCATTTCTGAATACCTTCGGAGTACCTGCTATGGATGCATGAGGTGAATGAGCGGATGCAATGCCATGTTCAAACTTTTTTTTTTGCATATAATCTTTCACATTTCCTTTTTTGTGTAAAATAAACATGTTATGATGCAAGGTGCAATGACATAAGTTCAAAAGTTCAGCATAACAATTGTACAATCCTCTGGATAACTGCTGTATAAACCTGCTGAATAATATGGATATCACAGGATCAAAGGTTCAGAACCAAATTCAGCATACAATGGAACCAAGTACCATGATTAACCATTGTATAATCTCTGACCAAGTAAAATATATCAGGATCAAAGGTCTGGAACATAGCTAGATAACCATCCTGAATACCGAATCCAGAAAAAAATAAAATAAATCTGAGACCCATATAGTCACCAACAGAACAACAGTCACTATCAGAACATAGTCACCAACTGAGCACGAGTAACCATTTGAACATAGTCACCAACTGTACCTGTAATGATAAATCCCTCCCCACTCACGTGTGAAGACTAGGTCAGGGTGAGATAATGGTAACTCGAAAATCACGGGTCCGCCTGAAAGTAAAATCATCGCAACACAGACGTGCATGATGAAAGTACTTTCAATTGAACCTCATCCGAGCGTGGTATATGACATGACTGCACTAATCGGACCATGTCCCATAGCCTTCATGCCCCCACTCTATTCTTAGGTGTCCTAGTGCACTCTGGCCTGGGTACTGGGCCTTTTACCTCAAAAGTGACATCCCAACCACACATAGAGAACAAAGTTCAGCATAATAGATAACAGATATGGAAAGCCATAAAATGCAATGCAAACATGTACAAATGAGTAAACTGAAAGCATAAAAATAAACACCCAAAGAAAAGATAGTAAGAGCTAGGAGCGACTCCGGGATGGACCAGCATTTGGTCGACCTTTCCCCAGTGAAGTCGCCAGCTGAAACAACCGGCTGAAAATCATCAAACAATGAAGTCGCCATCGAACGTCTTTTATCCCACATGTAGGGAAAGGTAAACATCGAGAAAACCTGATAAGGGAGAAGTCACGGTTTTGCGACCGAGAGATCGGATAAGGGAGTCTGTTACGCGAGGGGAAGGTATTAGCACCCCACACGCCCGTAGTAATCTACGGTATCCACTCTTGTTATCTATCTTATGGGTGTGTTTAATCTATGCTTATTGTTTATTATTTCTAAAGGGAGAATGCATGCAAAAGAAAGGAGAAAAGAATGTAGGGAAAATAAAATTGTGCTCGCCTGGGCCCTACCCCAATGCCTACGTATCCTTTTAAGGAATCAGAGCAGTCGTAGTTCGGCTCATGTGTTTTTGTTTGTTTGTATTTTCTTTAACTGAACAATATTAATTTCGCCTTCTGCCGCAACTCGACCGTTGGAGACTTACGCGTCAGCACAGAAGTGAATTGACATGCCCTCTGGAAAAGTTTTGAAAGAAATGTGCCTGGGCGCACAAAAAAAGTTGAATTTGTTTGTTTTTTTTGTATGAACGATATTAATTTCGCCTTCTGCCGCAACTCGACCTTTGGAGACTTACGCGTCAGCACAGAAGTGAATTAATATTCTCTTTTGAAAAAGGTTTTTTTTTTAAAGGAAGGCCCGAAGGCAAAAAGAATTTTATTGGTTGATATTTTAGCTTGTAGAGAATGATTAGTTAATCTCAAGAGAGAGATTTTAGCCATGTCTCTACTTATTCATGAAATGAGTTTTTGAGACTTGAATCATGCCGAAGCTTAGAATAAGAGATCAATAAGGTCGAGAAGAGACCCGCTTATCGTCTCACATACTTAACGAAGATATGATTCTCGTCAGTAGATTTTTTTAGTATTTTTGAAGTTTGTGAGAAACAGAAGTTTTTTGTTTTAAATGCATATGCAAAAGGGGAAAGAAAGTCACATGAAGATTAGCCTATTTCTAAAACTAATTTTATCATGCGTTAGTGGACCTAAAGTTAGAATTTTGGAGGAATTCTACCTAATGTTGACATGCATATGGTTTGTGATAAAGAAATGCAATAAAGTGTGAAATGAGGGATAAAACAAGGCCACGATGATACCGAACAGAGAAGGTCTGGTGCCTCTTCAAAGCCATGCAAGCGATAAAATAAAAAATTCTACCGAAAGCCTCTTTGAATCCTCTTGATGAAGGTTGTGCCTTGAATTTATTTCGAAGCCTGTCGAAACTCTTCAACAATTATCATACGCAGACATCATATAATCATGCCAACATGTATCACAGATAAAATACCATTATCGGATGAAAATTGGATTAAGAATCCATCACAAGGCTTACAAATCAAATGAACATTCAATGAAACAAAACAATCTATTTTTATCGAGTTTATGAGATTTTTTTATGAACCTAACCACAAGCAAATAATTAATCAAGCAATTAAGGATCAGAACCCTGCATTAAACCCTTTATCCTGCCAAAGAAATTGTATCAATTGGAAAGAACCAACGAGCACATGTTAAAATCCTAGTTCCAAACATATTCAAAGATCAATTCCATTAAATCCTAAACTAATAGATACATCATGAAAAAAAAATATTAACAAGTCGGGAATCAATATTTTTTATGTATACACAAAAAAAAATTAACCAAAAATTATGAAAGAAACATAAAAATTAATTGCAAAAATTCAAAGAAACAAAGTAAAGTGAAGAGAAAAGTTAGGGAGTGCAATCAGGATCCAGGGGGTATGAATTGAGACATCCAACGATGGGACCAGTCCAAGTTCTATGTGACCAAGTCTTTAATTTCAATATTATTTTCTGATTTATTAATATACAAAAAAAAAGAAATAATAATAAGAAATAATAATGCTGAGACAAAAGCAAAACGGTGTAGTTTCGATGGTTTAGGGTCAAAACCCAGCTTCGACCGTTCTTCTTCCTTACTCTCTCTTACCGGCGGCGCGACTTTTCCACAAATCTTCGTCTCCGATCATCTATGATCCCGTCACGGTGGTCGTTTAAATGCCTTGCCGTTTCAGTTTGCTTCCTCACACATCTGGTTTGTCTCAAATTTCGTCTGCCTCTGTTCGTGACTTCGACTCATGATGCAATAGCCTCACTATTTCAAACATTGTCCGGCGCCTCTTCAAAGCTTTAGCGAAACCAACAAGTTCAAATACACATCAGTAAGTCTTCCTGTCTTGCGCTTAATATTTATTTCTTATCACTTTGTTCATGATTTTGTTTCTACTCGCTATGTTCACGATCTTGTTGTTGTGTGCGTGAAGCCGAGAGTAGGATGAAGAGCACGCGATAGAGAGTGGAGAGAGTTTCAGATTCTCTCAGTAGCGATTCTTCTGAGTTCTGAAGAGTGGTAAAGATGATGATGATAGAAGAATGAAGCTGAGAAAGGAGAGGATTTTTCTATGGATTTCCAGAGAGAGAGAAGACTCAAGGTTGAAGATATTTCTTGTGATTCTTCCAAAAGTTGAAGAATGAGATGATTGAGAGGTAATCTTTTTTTTGTGTTGAATATCCTATCTATTCTGTCCCTCCATTATGTATATATGCTAGAAGTTTTGTTGTAAAATAAGCCATGAGTTGGTTATGTGGTTAGTTAATTCTGTTAGGAAGTTAGGATGCAGTTTGTTATGCAGTTATAAGTGGTTAGAAGGTTTGAGAGTTTGTTATGAATTGGTTACTGAATGTTAGGTATACTGTAACTGTTTTTGGGTTAGTTAAGTTGGTTAATTGAGGTATGGTTTTGGATAGGAAGTTATGGTTAGAAAATTCTATTAGGGAATTTAGTTGGGGAATAGGTTGTAAGAAAGCTGGAAATTTGTTGTTTAGAAATTCTACTTTGGAAGTTGGTTAAGAAACGGTTAGGAATCTGTGAATTAGAAAGGTTGGTTGAAATTGTGTTAGTTATAAGTTAGAAGTCCTGTTTGGAATTGGTTGGAGTTAGAGGAGTTAGGCTGTTAGAGGAAGTTGTGTTACGGTAGTTAAGAGATGAGCTGGAAAATCTTTATGTGTTAGTTTTGGAATGAAGAGTAGCTAGGATACTGTTTAGTTATTTTTCTGCTGGACAGTTAGGGAATATGACAGTTTAGTAGCAAATTAGTTAGAAATTCTATTGTGAAAGGAGGTTAATGGATTTAGCTAAGTTTGTTGAAGGCAATTTTGTTATTAAGAGGTAATATGCTATGTGAAGAAGTTAGTAGTTGAACGAAAATGTTAGTTGGTGTTACCATGCTGTTGATTAGCAAGCATGCAATCTGTATTATTTGGAAGCAACTTGCATTGAATATTTAGATCAACATCTTCAGCAGTTGATTGCTTCTGCTTTTTGCATTTACGCCTCTTCCAACTACATGGCCTAGATCGCTTCCCAGTCCTAGTTGTAACACAATTCAAGTCTGGTTTCCCTTCTGACTCCGACTTCTTTGTAACAGTAGCAGCTCTAGTAGACTTAGGAGCTTCAGAGGCACTGGCATCATAGCTCCTGCTCTCATGATACCTATTCAATTGCATTGAAAGCTCATCCGTCAAACCTAGATTACTTGCAAAGCCAACGGGGTCATCGGCATTGCAAGAAATACGGCGCTTTCGTTTTTGTACTGTTGTGTCATCAATGTCAGCAGATCTTTTTCTCTTTCGTGCTTCGCATTTATAAAGTGAAGAATGCCGATGGTCAAATTTTGATGAACACTTCTTCAACTCGTTTACCAAGGAAGGGATCATTGAGAATTACTTCTTCACACTCCCTCATCTTCTTTTGAGCGCCATCAAAGTCATAGTTGATATAAACACAAGCCAGAAACTCGGTGATGGGGTCCTTGTATGAATTCTGCTCTTGTTGAATAACTTTTATAAAATCTTTGAATTGAGGCCTCCTGCGCTTGGGACTAATAATCATACTCTTGCTCACGGTTTGCTTAGGACTCATGCTTCGACTCCTAGATTTTCCAGGATTATCATCCATCACATCAGGCAGCCTCTCTTCGTATCTGTCAGATCTATGGTTGGCCCCAGTGCCGTTGCTACGCTGTGCTCCATTTTCCTTTGGGAATTCTCCATCCTCTACATTGCTCAGCCCCTCCCTCTTTTTAAGATCCATAGGAGATGATTCTTTCTCCAAAACTGAGGATGACTGGACTTTGGCATTTCTCTGAGTATCAAGACCTTGGCCATTGGAGCTATCATTACTCTTACTTGCACTATCTGCATCAGTTTGACTGTCTGATTCCCTCTTTGATTTATGTTTTGATCGCTTATCTAATTTCCTTCGCTTCTTTTCTCGCCGTTTATCTCTTCTTTTTCCATGTCTATGTTTATCTTTTCTATATCTCTTTCTCTTCTTCCGCATGTCATCACTAGAAGAGCTTGTGTAAGATGACGAGGACAAATCCAAGTCAGAGTCACTATCACTTTCTGAAGACTCTGTGTCTGAATCTGAGGAACTGTCTGATTCTGATGAGTAATGTTTTCTCTTTTTTCTTCTGTCTACTGAAGATTTTTTGTGTTTTCCCTTCCTCCGTGCTTCATGACTGATGGCTTCAGAAGATCCATTCCTTCCAATTTTTGACTTCTGTGTCTTCTTACCATCCTCGTTATGTTCACCACTATTAATTATTTTAACAGTTACGGATGGGAGTCCTTCATCGCCCACATCTTCAGTTTTCTTCAATACATCATACCCTAGCACAAGTTTGCCAAAAGCTACATGCTTCCTATCCAGATGGTGATCAGCTTTCAAAGTGATGATAAAATGTGAACCAGTAGTGTCACGATCAGCAATTGCCATAGATAGAATGCCTAGAGAATCATGCTTTAGCTTAGGAGACTCGTCTGGGAACTTGGGGTAAATGTTTTCTCCACCAGTCCCATTTCGATTGATAAAATCACCACCCTTCACAATGGAGCCTTTTATGATTTGATGGAAGAAAGAACCCTTGTAGTGCAGGGATTTTCCAGTATTAGGACTGACTCCTCTTTCTCCGGTACACAGTGCACGAAAATTTTCAGCAGTCTTTGGAGCAACATCATGGAAAAGCTCAAAAACCATTCTTTCAGCAGGATCCCCATCTATAGACACATCCATAAACACCATAGGGTTCTACTTCTTCGCCATAATGTTTCTTATCGATCAAAATCTGAACCACAAAAGAGAGAGAATAAGAGAATGAGAAGTGAAAATCTGGGTTTTGGTATATAAAATGAGTTTTTCACGTGTCAAGTAATTTGTATGAGCATGGGATATTTTGGCATGATTGCTTGTATTGACTTGGATTTTTTTGTATGAATGTGCAGGTCATGAACTGAAGATGAAGAACTTTGGCATGGCATGGAATTAGAAGTTTACTCATGGAATTTTAGCACCTTTAGGACTAAAGAATTTTGTTCAAGTGTATTTTGTAACAGTTTTTTTTCTTTGTAGAATATTGGTGTAATGGGATTGTAATGATTTTATAATGAATGTATGGTTTGGATGAACTTGAAATTTATAGTGTGAATTGTACATGACCTTTGAGCTTGAAATGTTGGGTTATGAATTTTAAGGACGGAGTTTAAATGACAAAGTCTTGAAAAAATGCTTGAAGACATGAAAGCATCAAATTTTCTTGTAAGGTATTGTTACACTTGAATGAAATTGAATAGAATTGGATAGTATTTTCTTGAACCATGAATGAGAATGAAATTGAATGGAATAACGATGAACATCTTTGTAATGCGTATGAACTCCGACTTGAAATAAGACCTTGCAGTCTGTATTTTACCTTCCAAGAAACTCATACGACCAATACTTAAAGCTCTTTGCCAACTTTAATCCAATCAAACACTTTCGAACATCTTGAACTCAAATAAAACTTCAAATCCAAATCACACTTGCATTCTCAATAAACTCCTAACTTCAATCTTGAACCCAAATCAAATTAAATGACAAATAATTTGAATAGTCAATAAGATCTTGATCCTAAAAAATTCACAACCTTGCCTTTTGTATCATGCCTCATGTTCCACGATTCAATCCACAAGTCTCTTATCTTGACAAAGTCCTTCCCTAAATGACGACCTTAAATCATCAAAGATGGATGTAAATGATAATGAAAGAATATGATCAAGATTAATATGAAACCTTATTTCCTAATCTTCAATTACTTGAACTTTTATCAATGAATAGAAACCCTGATTTTTAATGAATTTTTTCTTTTCTGAACCAATATTTCTTTTCCTTTACCATACCATTCTTCAAAATGCAACTCGAATTCCCAACACATATTAGATGAAAATTCAAGGGAGACCTTGGTCCCAAAGTTAATTTTTCAAAGCTTACTTTAACCGAAGTCAACAGATCTTATCCACATATCTTTGAAATTAGCCCATGATTATGCATCTCAAGGTCTCATAAGAGCTTGTAAGCCCATCAACCAGGTATGCCATGTTGGTGACCTAATGAAATAGATGCAGATGGATGCAAAAGTCTAAGCCAAAATAAAAGAAATTAGGAGGGCAAATTTTGGGGTGCAACAGCTGCCCCTATTTAATCGTCTTCAACCTGAAGGTGAGATTGGCGTCAGCCTTTCGAACTTTCAGGGTGGAGGAAGATTAAATACTAAAAGAACCCGAAAATTTGCGCTCCGGAGTCAGTCAGGTATTATTATATCTTTGGTTTTTCTGTATCTTTTGTATTATATTTTTTTTTTGGTAAAAAGGATTATCAGGGTTAGATGTATGTTTAACCAGAGTTTGACACACCGAAGGATAACTTGGTTATCGAGGAACTTCTGTTGGGATTTAGTAACAAACACCTGTAAGAAAGATATCAAAAGATATATATGCATGAAGTCTGTAGTAGACATACGAGAAGAAGTATCAGAGACACATATCCGTGGTCGGTATCGGATACGTACAAAAGAGACATCATAGATACATATCCGTGGTCGGTATCGGATACGTAAGAAAGAGACATCAAAAGATACAAGAACATATGTCTGGGGTTGGTAGCAGACATATAAAACAGGTATCAAAAATACATATTCGTGGTCGGTATCGGATACGTAAGAAAGAGACATCAAAAGATACATATCCGTGGTCGGTATCGGATACGCACAAAAGAGATATCAAAGATACATATCCGTGGTCGGTATCGGATACGCACAAAAGAGATATCAAAGATACATATCCGTGGTCGGTATCGGATACGCACAAAAGAGACATCAAAGATACATATCCGTGGTCGGTATCGGATACGCACAAAAGAGATATCAAAGATACATATCCGTGGTCGGTATCGGATACGCACAAAAGAGATATCAAAGATACATATCCGTGGTCGGTATCGGATACGCACAAAAGAGATATCAAAGATACATATCCGTGGTCGGTATCGGATGCGCACAAAAGAGACATCAAAGATACATATCTTAGTTGCTTTCTAGATCACTTACTTTATTTGAAAACATGCTTTGTGGTGGGTGTAAGTTTGAAAATATTTTGCAAAATTCCTTTTTTGCGGCTAACTTTGTAATGATTCTCGTCTCTATAAGAATGCGTACAAAGTGTTGGTTTTGAAAATAGTTCAAACAAATGTTCGTTTTTGAAGATGTTTTGAAAGTGTAAGTGTGGAAAATGGTTTTAGCTCAAGAGCAAGCAACTACGAGCGTCCTACCTACTCAAAAGGTCCATGTTCTTTTCCTCCTCCTTTAGATGTTGCTATCTTACCATTGATTTGATAAGAAGCCCCATCGTTGGATGTGAAGGGACGGGCGTGGGTCAATTATATAGTCATAGAAGGCAACTTATGAGACGTTTTAGCAATTTTCGTTAGGGACTGGATCTTTTACCCAAGGCAATATCGAGGGACATCGAAGGACTACGATCTTTTATCGAGGGTCTTTGCTAAAACTCCCATATTCGAGGGACATGACTATTTTCCGAGGCAACAAGTGAGATTACCCTAGAGGTGCATGTGTGTGAATGGTTTGTTTGATTGCATGCATTTAGTCTTGAATTTGGGGTTGTCTACTTGTTGATTTTATCTTTCCATACACAACCTAATTACTAGCATTTATGAAAGAAATAAAAATGTAGAAAATAAATGTCATATGTTTTTACATGTTTTTGGGGGATGGGGTATACAAGTTTACAAGTGGGGGTTGAAAAGAAATAAAAGTTCTAATTATTACAATCATATTGAATATCAAGAAAATGTAAATATATAGAAAACATAAAGACAAAAATAGTGTAAAAGAGAGAAAGAAAAGGAATCCTGGATCGAAGGATGTGCCTTTCGATTGCCATAATCTTTCCTTCTTTCGATTTGGGCTTGTACCTAGTGTGTATCGAAGTCTGTAACCTTCGATTCACACCACCTTCTTTTTTTGTTTGCAACTTTGAAGCAGTAAGGGGTGAAGCCTAAGACTTCGATTCATACAAACTTTTTTTCTTTCGTTTGGGCCTGTACACGTTAGTTCTTGCTTGAAGGAAAAATAAACCAAAAAGGCAGAAACGGAAAAATGCGCAAAAAGGTTATTTACATGCTTGAAACGAAAGGGTTAAAGTCAGGAGGACTTACCTTGGATCTGGCATTGGTGTTTCTGGACCTTGAGTGATTTCCCTAGATGCTCTGGGATTCAAAGGGAGAGAAATAAGTGTTTGTATTTCTTTGACTGGATTCGAAAACCAAGAAAAGTAGAGTTGTGTTTATAGTACTGGATTCGAAGGAAAAAAGACAAAGGTGTGGTCTTTAGTGCTGGATTCGAAAGAAAGAAACAAAGTGTTGGTTTTTTTATTCTGAGTTTGAGAATGTTTAAGTGTTTTCTCCTCTCTTTGCCTTGCTAACAAATTTCTCTCTAGCCACCAAAAAGCCCCCCTCCTATATGTGTTATGGAACATCCTATTTATAGAAGAATTTGGTTGAGATTTGAGGGGGAAAACAAATGAGATTTGAACAAATTGGGTATGTTGTTTTTGTAGCCTTTGAGGTGCAGTTTTTGTATGCTAATTTGGTGCAAATATGGAAGCAGCATTGTGGCCAATGCAGCAGGCTTAAACTTGGCAGCATATAGGAATCTGGCAAGCAAGCATCTTTGAATACTTCACCCTTTCGTTTTGACCACATAGGTCCAACCTTCGACCAGACTCCTCTTTAGACAACAATATTTGTTCCCAACTAATGTGTGTCCTTCGAATGGACCATTTGCAATTCTTTGAATGGGCCACCAATATTTGTCCTTCAAATGGGACACCCAGGTATGTCCTTCAAATCCACCAATGCATGTTGTTGTACCCCAAAATTTTCCCTCTCTTTCCTCAAGGCATTTCTCACAAGAGTTCTCAAAATTCAAGCTTGCACAAGTACAATTGGATTTTCCAGCATCAAGTTAAAGGGCAAACTGTTAATAAGGGCAAAACAGATAAAAATAATCTTTTTGACAAAATTGGAGAAAAAGCAAGTTTTCTTTGATTCACATCCTTCGATTGGATTTTTTGCCTTCTTCGATGCATGCTTGGCTTGCATCCTTCGATTGGGCGTTGGCCTCTGACACGCTGGCTTTGATTCACAAAGAAGGAGCTTCTTGCATGCAACCTTTCCTTTGCATCATTGGCCTCACATGGTTCACAATGTAATGGTGGCCTGTATGCCTGCTTCGATTGGACATTTGACGCCTGTATGCCTATGTTGATTAGACAAATAATTCCCCCCATGCTTGCTTTAAGTCACAAAGTGATGGCTAGCTGCAAACAACTTTCAATTGAGCCATAGCTTCCTTCTTGCATGGAAGATGCGCCCACCAGGCCAGTAGGCACAAGGCAAAAAGCCTCATGTAGCCTCCTTTGATTCCAAGGAAAAAAGCCTCCTGCTGATATCCTTCGATTGCAAGGAAAAAAGCCTCCTACTGATATCCTTCGATTGCACAATTTGCCTCCTGCATGCCTCTTTCATTTGGGCATTTTTGCTTTTTGCATGCCTTTTTCGTTTGGGCATGTGGCTCTTCTTTGATGCAAGCCTCACATGCCTCTTTCGTTTGGGCATGTGTCCCCCTTTGTTGCAAGCTTCATTTGGGCATTTAGACCTCAAGCATGCATCTTTCGTTTGGGGCGTGTGGCCCCCTTCAATGCAAGCTTTGG